TGGACATGCTTCACAGCTAAGTAGTGGAAGAGAGAGAACTATGGGCCTTAATTAATTACCGGATATATCGCCAGCGCCATAAGCGATATTATTTGGCGATAACCACCCGGCTATTTCGTAAACCACTGACTTACCAAAGCTGATCCGACTTCTTAATTAAGTGATATGGTCAACCACTTCGGTCCTTATTGTCAGGTGGCGTTAACGCTAATCAGTCCTGAAGCAAAAATCAACACATGGGTAGTAAGAAACATTCTTGAATTACCACTCGAAGTATCCAGAAGACTATGATCTTATCAGAGTCTTTAATAGGACTATGACATACTTTAAGTTGACTAGGAAATTTCCTGCAAGATCAATCCTTGTTAATTAAGACAAAGAAAGTTAAATATTTATAAGGTCCACAAAGTTAAATAAAAATAGAGGGTAAGCATGATTAATGGATACTACTCAACGTTAAAACTAACCTGACCAACGGTGCCCAAGTATTAAGCCTTGAGTGTTTACCCAAAATACTCTCAGTAATAGATATTATATTATCACAATACCCCTCAATTAACAACGTCAAATGCCACCTTGGTATCAACTGACAACTATTACCGTTAGCTGTATTTCAAGGTAAAGACGGTTGATACAACCACGGTCAAACTTAACACCTAAATGTTTTCTCTGGGTTTGCTGTTTCCAAGCTTTCCGTGTGCGTTCAATCTTCAACGCTGTACTCATATTAGACTGAATCCTCTGATAATCAAAAGAAGACTTTCATAATTGTTCTAATACTTGTAATTTCCCATCGCTGTACTGGGTAGGATTGCTCAACCTCTGTTGGCAGATGGGCTTCTATGCAAACACTTAGATACTGTCCAATTACTCACTATACTGTCCGCTTGGTAGCTAGCAGTGGGGTCCAGGACGCATGTTAAATTCCATTTGGGACTCGTCAGTTGAATGTACCCGCAGTCTAGCGAGCAATGTTGTTAGCACAGACTTGAACCCAGTACCGATCGCTTCAAACGCCAAAGCGTTACCCAATAGGCCACGAGAGCCACCTCTCGGGCAGTGGGTATCAGCTGTCGTTTTGGGGTGACTGATCAGTCCCGAATAGGACGAAGAGCATGTCCTGGATTCCAGTGCTAGTCACCAAGATGAATATGCGGGCTTTTATATTTTCTTAAAGACAACTAGGACCAATCATAGTGGATCGTACTTGGTTCCTATAGCCCAGCTGACACTTCAGTTAGTCTAATCCATAAACATAAGTAAAGGTCCTTAAGTAGTTCCGACATAGTTCCAGTATAGCCTGATGCTCTTGTCACTTCAGGTTACTCATAGCCTTTTCCACTTCCGCAAGAGTTATAGTTTCTATCTGAATCCTCCATCCTAGCTGCAACTTGAAAGAGGACAACCAAAGAGTAGTTGGAGACCAGATGAATTAATGCATAATCAGTAAACTTTTAATGTAAAGTTTACACACAATGTTTTTATTTGGAGCAAAATTATGATCATACCAGCGATTGGATTATAATAGCTAATAAAAGCTTATCATTGCATTAAAAACTTACTTATAGTGCACTAATCCATCTCACAATGCACAAACGTTTCATTGTTGCTTGGTGTATTCTTTTTATGGTTCCACCACGTCAGGGAATTATGAGCTCGTATTTATTCGTTAAAGTTTGGCTAACCCCCTAACCATTTCACCCGTTTCCGTGATAAATCTAAATAACTACCTACTGTTACCTATCACCAATACTTCCTCCTTCATTGTCCACCACTTCTCCCAGTCATTACGTAGAATTCTTCCTTATCAGTCTACATTTAACTTGCTTCTCGCTGTGCACCAAGTAAGCAGGAATGAGTTTACATATAATATCTATTGTGTGAGGGTTAACCATGCTACCTAGACCTTAGTAGATGGAGCGGAATTCGAACACATGACTCAATGATTGAAAACTAAGTGTTTAGGTGAATGGTCTACCACCTTAATCAAAAATGGTGATAAACAACATATAACTATCTTATAATCCATGCTTCACTTTCTTGCTTGGTTGAAAAACAAATTCCTCATTATCTAACTAGTTATTTAATGTGGTAACTTCGATTGTTTCACTTACTAGAAGGAGCTCTGTTCGTTATATCTTGATGCGGTATCACAGGTCAGTTAGGCTTGTTCTAACTTACTGGCGCACAAGAGAATACTTCATACACTTTCACGTTCAATAAAATACAACAAATATACTTAAAAAGACCGTTTCTGCTAGGACCGCTTAGACACTACAACGACGCTACCGACTAGTAGTTGGATCCAAGATGCAGTTTCCGCCTCATCAGTTGGATATACACATATATCCCAGTGAGACTCGAGCCCAAACCCATCGCTTCAAATGCCAAACCGTTATCCACTAGGCCACGAGAGCCACCTCTTTGATACTTTAGTCTCCCGTCACTATACTAAATCGAATCACTTGACCTCCTCTGGGAGATGCGAAGGCCTCGATACTGCCTGATTAATGTTGATTGTTGCAGGTTCTGTTTCAACCATTTGTGATTGAAAAGAAAACAAAAACGTTAACCATAGGGTTTATCGACCACTAGCGCAGTCAGCGACAAACTAAAAGTCTGTGCCACTCCCTATGGCAGTAATAAAAGCGGGAATCAATCTGACTAAAAGTAACCAGGATATTACTAAATCGACTTGACGTATTAATAATACAGATGGATAGATTCAATTATGAGCTAGATGGTTTTTCCAGCAATAAAATAGCACTACTTATTATTTAGTATATAGTATGGGAAATGACTACTTCGGGACCCATCTGTACGAACTGGAGACGATTATCAAGATCTGGTGAATTCGTTTATGGGTCGGCTAGATGCAATAAATAAGAGGAAATAATAATGACGATGATCGTACTCCCAAATAGATAGTCTGACCTAGCAGTAATTGAGGCAACTTACTCCTACACTGTGATAATGCTGTTATAAATATCACTACAGATTGACTGTAGGACTTCGCGCACTAGGTAAGTAGAAGCGCCAATTTGTTTATCTGACTGATGATTTTGCGCACAACACAAATCTTATGTTAGTATTCATCATGGACTGGCATCACTTGGAGGGATATTGGAAACCTGGGAGCACTAGACAGCTGTTTCATCCTAGTATGGCACGTTTTAGCAGTGCGCACCATGACCCTGCCAGGAGTCGAACCCGCGATGTTCGGGTTCAGTGGCCAGCACGTTAATCAACGATGGCAATGGGTGGCGCTCGCGCCATGTCATGAACTGACAGAAGTTGGAAATATGGACCACCGGATTCCGAGCCAGTGGCTGAATGATGATGTGCTGTCCATAGAGCCTGAAGGTCGCGGGTGCCCACTGCTGAAGAGTCCCATACAAGGACGAAACAGCTGTCCAATGCTCCCAGGTTTCCATTGTTCCTCCAAGTGATGTCAGTCCATGATGAATACCAACTCGAAAAACCTCTAAATCCCCACAAACCCCCAATACAAATCTTATGTGCAAATCATACTGAACAGGAACCATACTGAAGATGTTAGTAACAGATATGTAGTACCACAATCGATATAAATAAACTTGGATAACAAATAAAATGAAACACAAATTTCCTCATTTTAAAGATATGATACCTAAAAGATCTTTATTTTACAAGTATCAATGTCATAATCAGTTGTATGCCTCTTATATTAAACTTAGTAATAACAGTCACAATGACGTGGTTGAAACTGCAGCCAAAATATCATAACTTCGTGGGAAGGTAGTATAATTCAAGAAATAGAATGATTAAAAAACTGACCTACTACTAATTAACATTAAGGAGAGGATTTCAGAATGTTACCATCTGAAATATTTTGTCAGAAAAATTGCATAAGATTTTGCAAAGTAATCCGTCAGATGAAATCCTCACATTTCTCAAGAGGACATAAAGATAGAAAAAAGGAGAAATGAAGATATAAATAGAAATATCAGCACAGTATGAATAAACGGACAGTTCTCAAGATTTTAGAATTCTGTCAAAGTGCAGAACTGCTTGCATTTAACAACAATTATACCCGCTTATTAAAATAAACAATGGATTTTATAAGCGTTTCTCAGGTATGATATAGCGTCTATACAATATTATATTCATAAAAAGCTATCTACATAAGGCGGTGGCTCTCGTATCCCATTTAATAACGCTTTGGCGTTTAAATCGATGGGTACTGGGTTCAAGTCTGTGGGAACAACATTGCTCACTAGGTTGCGGGTACATTCAGCATACGAGTTCCGAATAGGATGAAACGTGTGGCCTCAATTCCACTGCTAACCACCAAACAGACATTAACATAATGAGTTAGCAGGCAGTATCGAAGCAGCCCCATAGGAGTTCATCTGACAACAGAGGTCGGGAAATTATAAGTATCAAAAGTAATCTACGAAGGGAAGTTTACAAAATTATAACTTTACTAGCCAATTAGCGAACAAATAAGTAGATGGTGAAAACAGTGAGATATAAAAGGTCGAGTATTCAGGTTTAGATAGGAAGAGATGGTGATTCCATGAGCAGGATTTTTCACCGTTAATATAACATTCACAGGATTAAAGGCCATATTAAACTGTTAATATCCACACTTAGTGGGATTGCAAACAAATTCGCTTCCGTTTTTGTAAATATACCACAGTTTACTTTGAACTCGTTCATATTCCTGGGAAATAATACCACAGTTGTGTTTCAGACAGATGATACAACGAAATCATGGGAATAGGAACCACTACCAACTGGTGGAAACGTAAATGCCTAAACAAGCTCTGAAGCATGGATATTCTTACGGATGCAAATGGATAACATTTGTAACCAACAACTGTTTGCTCGTAAAAGTGAAAAACGAACAAACTGTGTTTATTAAGCACTAGAAAACAGGTAGGTGATAAGCAAAATCAATATATTGTCACCAAATTCAAACTAAGCGATATGACCATCCAAATAGAAAATAGAGGGCTTTAAATAGAATAGTCCTGATAAGAACACTCAAGATGATAGGGTGGCATCAACAAATACGACTGGTTTTTGCCCACAACATGAGCAGAATGTGGTACATTGCGAGGAACCTCCAAACGATCACCCGGACCTAATATAATCTCTTTGCCAAACATAGTGAACGACAGTTGACCACTAACTATACAATCCATTTTATTCTCCTGATGAGTGTGCACTGGAAAATTAGTCCCAGGACTGAACTTGTAATTGTACAACTGCATCCCTGTAATGTTATTAAAAATTAGATTTATAAGATATGCAGTAACGCTAAAACAAGGGGAAAAGTAATTTATGGCAAACCTCGGCTTTCAGCTTTTCAACATAGATTGCAGTGAAAGCGGACCATCAACAGATTCATCCCAATGATAAACACGAAATTCGGACATCTATAAACAATGAATACCACAAACTATTTAGTTATAGTATGCAGAACCAATCAAATTATACCACTTATGTGATGAAGTGATAAAAGTTGTGAATATGATCCTGATGAATTACTTCGAAACAAAAATATTGAGAAATACTGTTTAAATTAGTGAAATTCACTAATACTCGTCATGTGGGAATGGTTGCCTAAACCAAAGTAGATAAGCTCACCTTGAACTGTCTATCCCCGAAGACCTAAACATCAAAAAATACGCACGGTGTTAACAGGCCAGGAATAACAAACAAACTTTACATATCATAAATAGTTATAAAAAGCATAATGAGACAAAGAGCACTACAAAATGCGTTACAACCAGAAATGACCAAACAGCAAGGGAGATCTCATAAGATGCTGAATAACAGCCAGAAAAAATCTAGACATAAAATTTCTTGCACACGAAAAGAAAGCATATTCAAACACCCAATAGATTCATCAAGTAAACCACAACCGGAAAAACATGAAAACAATAATCATCACAGGAAACTCTCATAGCCTGATATACGGTTTTCCCCAAGAGAAATCTAACAAATAACGAACCATCCAATCCTACACCCTCGTCAATCCAAAAAACATGAACAAATGCTGAATAACTTTAATAAACAACACGAAGAAATCGTCTAAACTCTCGGTAGCACCCACTCAACAACTGAGTATTCAGTGCAAACAACACACACACACACACATGTCAACAACTCAGTACCCCAACAAACAAGCACAGAAAACGATAGAAACGTAGGGAAACACACAACTACGCATGTATGGACACTTATCAGGTCGTCGATACATACAACCTGCGAAATCGTCCAAACTCTCTGTAGCACCCACTCAACAACTGAGTATTCAGTGCAAACAACACACACACACACACACATGTCAACAACTCAGTACCCCAACAAACAAGCACCAGAAAACGATAGAAACGTAGGGAAACACACAACTACGCATGTATGGACACTTATCAGGTCGTCGATACATACAACCTGCGAAATCGTCCAAACTCTCTGTAGCACCCACTCAACAACTGAGTATTCAGTGCAAACAACACACACACACACACACATGTCAACAACTCAGTACCCCAACAAACAAGCACCAGAAAACGATAGAAACGTAGGGAAACACACAACTACGCATGTATGGACACTTATCAGGTCGTCGATACATACAACCTGCGAAATCGTCCAAACTCTCTGTAGCACCCACTCAACAACTGAGTATTCAGTGCAAACAACACACACACACACACATGTCAACAACTCAGTACCCCAACAAACAAGCACCAGAAAACGATAGAAACGTAGGGAAACACACAACTACGCATGTATGGACACTTATCAGGTCGTCGATACATACAACCTGCGAAATCGTCCAAACTCTCTGTAGCACCCACTCAACAACTGAGTATTCAGTGCAAACAACACACACACACACACACATGTCAACAACTCAGTACCCCAACAAACAAGCACCAGAAAACGATAGAAACGTAGGGAAACACACAACTACGCATGTATGGACACTTATCAGGTCGTCGATACATACAACCTGCGAAATCGTCCAAACTCTCTGTAGCACCCACTCAACAACTGAGTATTCAGTGCAAACAACACACACACACACACATGTCAACAACTCAGTACCCCAACAAACAAGCACCAGAAAACGATAGAAACGTAGGGAAACACACAACTACGCATGTATGGACACTTATCAGGTCGTCGATACATACAACCTGCGAAATCGTCCAAACTCTCTGTAGCACCCACTCAACAACTGAGTATTCAGTGCAAACAACACACACACACACACACATGTCAACAACTCAGTACCCCAACAAACAAGCACCAGAAAACGATAGAAACGTAGGGAAACACACAACTACGCATGTATGGACACTTATCAGGTCGTCGATACATACAACCTGCGAAATCGTCCAAACTCTCTGTAGCACCCACTCAACAACTGAGTATTCAGTGCAAACAAACACACACACACACACATGTCAACAACTCAGTACCCCAACAAACAAGCACCAGAAAACGATAGAAACGTAGGGAAACACACAACTACGCATGTATGGACACTTATCAGGTCGTCGATACATACAACCTGCGAAATCGTCCAAACTCTCTGTAGCGCCCACTCAACAATTGAGTATTCAGTGAAAACGACTCACATGCGCACACATATCAACAACGCAGTTCGCTAATCAGGTATTATAATGTATGAAGAGGTAGTTACGTACACAGGTGAGGTGTTACACATTTGTTGGTCTTCATTATATCGCTGTGTTCTTAAGTAGAGGGATTGTGCGACTGTATCGTCAGAAGGGATTAGTGGTTAAGTCCGACTAGGAAGGAATTATTGGGATAGTATGTTAATGAATAGTTTTAGATGATTTCACAACTTTCAGTGGGTTTACTTCACTTGTTTAACCTTGTTGTAGAGAAACTATTGCGACCCACTACTTTTCTCTGATTCTGAGTGAGATAGGTACGCGTTTATCTGAAAATGCAATAAGTCCTAATCCGGATGAAGAATGGAGTAATACTAAGTCTGTTATAAAAATAGTAACGAAAATAAAGTATACACCTTTATGGTAGACAACAGAGAATGATGATATACATCAATAGGAAGTCAGTCTTTATTTTATGACCTGGGCTGTTACTCTTGATCAAGTGTGCATATTTGGTTGCATGGTTCTCATCTTTTTTATTGAGTTTGATCTACGTTATGTAGGGACCAGTTTTATTCGGTCAAACGACATGACGTCATTCAAGATAAAATCAATCAGCCAATCTTCTTTATAATTACGTAGTTTGGAATTCGGTGTTAGTCATACAATGTGCAATAAATCCATTCTCAAGAGAGCTAATTATCCGGCTACGCCCCCATCACACCGAATACACATCCAACCCCTCAATCAGTAATTATCTCCCTTCTAGACGAAATTATTTCTTGATAGAGAAAAAAGTCGGCAAAGGTCAGCAGATTTCAAAAGTATCATTAGGACTGTTTGCTACGAGAAGACTTATTCTGTTTGGCTTTGACTGATCATTATGAGGTAAAGAGGTCTAAACATAAACTAACTGAAGTCCTGATAATGAACACGAGCAGTAGCGGGTGGCGAAAATTAGAGTTGGAAAATGTATTAGTACTAGGTAGCACTTTGCAAATAAATAGGCTTATTACGGAAAGTGGTCGGAAAAGAATGGTCAATGAGACTATCACCGAAAGGTATCCCTATCAGATAAACTCTGAAAATAAGTGGTTGAAAAGTTGAGCAGGAAGCTCTGAAGAACAATTTAAGTGGCATACGGCAACGCTTCAGTTACCAACATTTAGCCCGAATCTGCCTGGATTGTAGATATCGTCCCCTCAGGTTTTCGTCAAAGTTGAAAGCATAATCAGCAGCAGGGATAGGGGTTCCACTACCAAAAGTCCTCAAGGGTGAAAACAGAAAATCATTCAGTGGAATAAGAGGCACTAGCTCGTACATGGCCAATCAGAGGTAGTTCCGTTAGACTCGTTGAAAAGACAGAATTCGTCTGGCAGCCACATGGGAAATCAATTTGTTTAAAACCTTTCTAAGATTTAGGAGTTCATAGCCATCCGACACTTAAATGGAGCTCACAAGTAACAAACTCAAGATAATTAGATGGTTTTCAGGCATGAAAGAAGGTGCATTGACTAGAACTTCACACCTGACGAGACTTACAATGCAAACATACTATCACCCGACGCTTGCTGTTTCTTAACCTTAAGACAGTGTTCGAATCCGTCCACCGAAGTGTCGTGTTTGTTTCTAACTGTGAAGAAAGTACAGAAAAAGTACATTACGCTAACCGAAATTCTCTACTCGAACTCACACAATTGGCTAAGGGCTAACTGATAGTTTCCGTATGAAATAACGACAACTGATAGTGCTTTCCGAGAATGTTCACTGTCACCATGCTCTTTTAACCTCGTAGATGAGCCAACGGATATGATCTTACGTGCCTTCGACTTCTCAGGAATTGCATGATACGTAAAGTGTACCCGATCGAGTTAAAGTGCGCAGAAGATATATTTCTGTTAGGCGCCAACAAAACACAGTCTTTTGGACACCATGAGCGGAAACCTGAATGTTTGACAGTTGTTTTGCGTCTGTCAAATGTAGAACGATGTTTTAGGACCTGTTTGCACCGAATTCCCGTTTAAGGACAGGAAGTAAGAAACGTGTGGTCAAAAACTTATATTCTCTGAATATTTTTCATCACTGGCCATGTCTCAGCCATACAAGAGAAACACAGAAGGTAGCTGTATGGTATGCTCATCCCTTGACAAGTCGTCAGATGTTTTGTCGACACAAGTAACGTAATTAGGCAAAACGCCAGATATGTCATTTGTATCTGGGTTGTGATTTTGTCAGTAACCACCTCTGCTGAGTCAGTACAGCTCCCCGTCTGAAGTAGCCAGTGGAGTCTACCACTTCATTTCCTATCCTCAAGATACAAGTAGGTGCAAAACGGTCCTGAAGCATCCACTTACATTTGACGCATGTGAAACAACTGCCAAACATACTTAGGTTCCCACTGAAGATTTTCAAAAAACATTTTTCCAGTCTCTGTCTAACAGGACTACTAAAGAGTACACTTAGTGAACTGAGAACTCTTGGAAAAATCAGTCCCTTAAAAGTCGGAGGTACCTATGATTATGTCCATTAGCAAATAGATATAATCCAACAGTAATGGTGACAGTGGACATCCATAGAGGTTACCGTTGGTTGTACTTTAGACTATAGCTCTTACACGGATGCATTAGGATTACAGTTGCTCAGTGCTCCCTTCAGTCAGACACTGCCATAGCACCACTCGGTTGACAGGGTTAAATAGTGCCTTCAGGTCACGAACTAGAGGACGTATTGGCCGCCGGTGGGTATATCTGTCAATAAACTTGCTAAAGGGTGAAAATTTGATCGATGTACCTTAGTTCAAGTCTGAAAACTGCCTGATTTTCTCGAGTTTCTTGCTTTATCACTCGTCAGAGTCAGACATCGGATAACTACTAACCTTAGGATTTTAGATACGCTGTTGGTTAACATTATGTCGTTGTTACAAGAAGACTTTTCTCCTCTCTTAAAAACTGGAATGATTAGCGATTTAGGCCAGTTTGACGGTATATACTTCACGCACGCTAATTAAGTAGAACGGAAATACCAGATACGTGGAAGTTTATTCATACTGCCGTTAAGCACCAAAATGAACCCAGCACAATCAAAAAAGGAATGACCTTACTGGTTTATGAGCCATAACTGTCTTCATCAAGCATAGTACCTAAGAGGACTGGCGAATCACAAGTAAATCCATGACATTCGAAGGCATGTGCGAAAAGTTCGGAAGGGCAGGAAAACTTGTGAGGGCACACAGTAAGGAAACAGTCTAACTGAAATACAATGACTAAAGCATTATGGATGTTTATACCTTTGGTCTGAAAGGCCCACAATGTACTGTCTGTTCATGTATTGACAGAAGATGTGAGGATACAAAACTCAATTTACAGTCAGGGCAGAAGTGATGATGGCAAGTTGTATAGTGTTGCTCCATCATATGGAGATCATCAGAAACCGAGCTGCATATTTGGTTTGGACATTGTATTCTATTTTATAAGCTATTTTCAACCCATACCTGGAACTGCAAAAATTGCAACTGCTATTATCCACTAGAGAATACTCATCCTGTGTCAGAAAACTGTTCATGAGGTCGAAAACAGATTGATTTGAAGTCATTTTCTGTAAAGAGATGAATGAAAATAGCATAAGTGGCGAGAGTAACTCAGACGTTCCGATAGTGAAGGTTTACAGAAACAATCATAGGTCGATATGCAGGCAGGAGATGCAAAAAGTAGCAAAATGTCCGCAAATACAGAACAGTCGCCGGCAAGCGATTGCACACATTTTCCTGAATATCAAGTAAATTTGGGTGTTGAAAAGTTAACATTGACCTAAACATAAATCGTTTCCCTACTTTTCAGATGTATGACTATTTGTTCGGGAGTATCAGTAAATAGTAGCGTTTACAATACCAAAATAAATTCGAACAAAGTGAGTGGCAACCTTGCGCACCCTTAATCTTGATGTCGTTTGTACCATACCCGGTTTCACAACAACCCCATAGGTAACAACTTTTTACGAAAACACAATGAAGTTGAGGAAAGACGACCCAAGCCCAATGGAGGTAACAAGCCTGAATAAGTAATCAGAATGCATGGACATGAAAAATGTATGAAATGTTTATAGAACATACAGAAAGTAGTCATAAAATATAACTCTTAGTAACACGTTAGTGTATGAACTGTACACAGGTGTCTGCAGGCAAATTAAACCAACTATGGTAGGTTTGTAACGCATTCCAAACCTTACTCGCTTTCCACTTTTGATTTCTAGACTGTCCTAACTTTTCATTGTCAAGCTTTACCGTTTGTCAGTTATCTTTTATTATTAGATGTCATCACATTCTGTGCAGTTCCTAAGTCGTCAGCTCACGTTTTCCCCTCCCACTTTCCCTTTCAGATTCTCGTGGTTACCATTAAATTCACACTTCTCAGAGCGCCACCCTGCAACAAAATTATCTGTCTACAGGCTACATGAAAACTTGTCACCAGCCAGTCGTAATAGGTTAATTCGTTCAGATAACCATAGAGCTCCTACAGAAGTTCACAGAACGCTCTTATTGTCGTTAAATTGTGACCAGAACTTTTGACTAAAATGCGTTTTAATCCTTGCAGCATGATCTGCTGATTCGGGGAAAATGTCACTGACACACTTAAGGGTGTCTAATTTTCAGTAAGCACAACCCTAGTCTGCATAAACTCTTGCCCCAAGAAGAACAAGACACTTTATACAACCGATAATGACACTGGTATTTCAGTTGCTTATTCTCCCCATATGCATTTAATTTATTGCCCAATCCTATGATTCAAATGCTATTTGCAGTTGCCAACTGTCATACTTTTTGTGTCAGCAGCATTTCGTCAACACGAATGACTACTATCACAGTCACACCGAACAGTAACATGAATTATGTGCAGTGCTAGAACCACCGCAGAGTAGATAATAGGGTGTTCTGTCTCAGTAGCAGTTAAAGCTACGTAGCCTTCCAGACGCGATTACATATGTGAATGTATCCGTCAAAAAATTTTCCAGCGCTATCGCATGACTACATTACCACCACATTGTCAGACTGTCTGCCTTCTTAGTAATCTTTGGATCACGCAATATTGTAGAAATGTCAGGATGAGATTGTCGTCGCACTAGGTACATATTGTTCACTGCTAATAGCATACTGGACAGTTTGGTATTACACTATTTGGTTTTGCAAGGTCATTAGGGTGTTCGTCAGGTTCTGTTCGCATTCCTTTAGCTACAACACAATGATGAGGGGCGGTCGGAAGAGGTAGACGAAACTGAATACGTACCTCGCGAAAAGTGAACTCTACAGTAACATGAAGGTCTAAGGATTATGCAATAAGGCGAAAGAAACGAAGCGCATTCAGCAAGCAAATACGTCTGTGTAGCAGAAAATGAAACACATTTTGTCTGAGGGTTAATGATCTTACCTGACTGCCCAAACCTCGTTAGATAGAGCGGTCGGTTGGAAATCGAGTGCTGGAGATAATGAGGCACACTAAATGGAAAGTAATGCATGAAACCTAATGACGCTAGTTGACTGCCTAGATGTTAGTCGACAATTTGTAGATACATGGGTTCTGACTCATGAGTCAGGACCTATGCTCCACAGTTAATCTGGATTTCTGCAGTTGATAGTTAGTTACATTTAAATAGTCGTTGTTCTCTTCCGATAACGCAATCCAAAATCGTGCATGATGTGACATTTAGCAACATTATTGGTTAGCTGTTCTACATGTCACATGAGACTTCAGAACTAATGAGCATCAGTTCATCAAATATATTAGATGGAATAGAATAAAACAGATATTCAGAAAAAATGTAGTAAAATAAACACGCCTGACGAACTTGATGAGGGTCACACCACGTATGTGACACTGATGCACTTGTAGGTCACTCGTCCAATATCCAATACCCAATATCTCACGAGCTAGTGTAAACCATAAGGTGTTCCACCGTATTCCCCTTTTTGTTCGCCTCTGGACTTTCTCCAGGAGGTTCGCATCTCTTCTGAGGCATGGTGGTGTAACGACGTTGTGAACTTTCATTTGAAGTCATGTATAGGTTTTGTACGGCTCCCGAAGCGAAGGTACCTAGTTGTCTGCACCCAAAGTGCAGTACTACGTAGGTCCTGGAAGAATTTTTTGGATAACTGGAGCAAGCCTCTAGCTTGTTAGTCCAATATCCAATATTGATAGTAAGAGCGTAGAAAACTGATAGTTTTTGACCTCTCGCGCCTAGTTCTTAGGGCTTGGTTCCAGTTGTTCGGTTCACTCCTGCAGTCGACGAGGAAATCCCCTCTGCTTTCTTGCTTTTAGCTTCGGTGAGGTGGATGTTTTGTGGGCCAGTAAGTTGTAATTTATAGAATGATTGGGGAGCTACGGATTGCTGGGAAGTTTAGGGAACTGCCGTGACTCCTGTCTGTGTAGGTACCTGAAAGAGAATGGTAAGTTTGTGGTAAAAGAATGAAGAAGAAAAAGAAAAATAAGGGAAGAGAAAAAAGAAAAAGAAGGGAAGGAAAAGAAAAGGATGGGCGAAAAGGGAAATAAGAGAGAAAGAAAAGTATTTAAGAATTGCGCGTATGGTCGCGTGGGTTTGGTTCCTACAGAATAATTAGTACGTAATGTGGGTGTATCAAGAAGGGAGTTGGTGAGTAGTAGTTAGGAGAGAGGTAAGGGCCGACTAGTGGGGTTGGCGACTACCTGAGTACACCCGTGATAGACCTGAGTATGGTGTTGGCTTTCTGGTGTGCTATTTTAGGATTTGTCCTGGTGCGAACTTGACAGACGCAAAGACCAATCACTAATTATTCGAACTTGTTATATACCCACGAATACGAGACCAAGGAAGAACACGATAGCGTAGTCGGATGGAATAGTATATTTGGATGGTTATGCCAAAATACCGATGCGTTCCAACTAACTGGCTAGAGAGTCGAATACGAGCAATGCAACGTAACACGACAGCGTGCCAAATGGCGAGGATGCTTGACCGGGTGCCTTCAGCTTAGCGAGTCCAGTTAAACTATCAAGGTCAGCATCAATGTCGAAGTCGTCAAACCCTAGGCTATTGATTTTGGGGAAGTGTATGACGCTACAGATCACTCCCCCCTAGTGGGTTCGTGAGGACCCTAAGACGATACCAGCCGGAAGTAAAAACCCAGTGGTTTCTCCACTGGTAAAACTCTTCCGATGGGCTCACTGCGTGAGGTGGCCCCTGGTTGTCTGAACCTTATTCTAGGGTGTCGTGGCGATTAAATAAATAAAATACAATAAATGAAATTGTACGTCGGTCGCGGTCATCTGTTCCTTTCGACGTTCCGTCCAGTGCTCGTTGCACCTGGAATATAAATAAAAGTCTTTAATACCACGAAAACGTTGCGTAAAAATGGGAATTATTTATATATAAACGTGTCGAAAAAAAAAATTTACGCTTATCTTCGCCGTTTTTTTAGTTTTTATTACATGGTAAATAAAAATTGATATAAAAAGGCAAAGTGTACGAGGGTTTGTGCTGCCGGTAAATAAGAAAAATAGTGCCTCGAAAAAAAAACACAGCTAAGTTGAATATGACTTCAGGTACTCTGGGAACCTGACGGTTCGACCTGATCGTGTTTTTTGTTGCGCCGCTGGTTGTTGCAGCTGTGCATTACCAGGCACATCGTCGAGAATTTCGATAATTGAGTCATCCGTCGGTCGGATGTAGCGAGCTGAAACGTCACTTACAATGGGGTTGCCTTCGAAATAAGCTGGTTTCAAACGGTCGATACTGACAGTATCTTCGCGTCCGCCTCGCTCAATTACATAGAATTTCTCATGTCGCTTAATCACTTTGAACGGCCCGTCGTAGGGTGGTTCAAGTGGTCGACGAACAGCGTCGTGGCGAACAAACACGTGTGATGTCTTCTGTAAACTGGGGTGGACGAAAACATCAGTCGTTTGCGGTCTAATCGGAGAAGGCCTAACTGAACGCATTGCGTTTGTAAGCCTAGTCACGTAAGATGCCCTGTCGGAAACATGTTTGAAAGTTGAAGGGGAAACAAACTCACCTGGTAGGCGAAGAGTGGTCCCATAGACGAGTTCTGCAGGAGTGCATCCAGCATCAACTTTCAACGCGTTACGAATACCTAGTAGGACTAGAGGCAGAGCCTCGGTCCACTGAGGTATGTTTGTAGCTGAAAGGGAAGCTTTCAGCTGTCGATGGAAACGCTCTACCATGCCATTTGCTTGTGGATGGTAGGCTGTCGTTCGGAACCGAGTGCAACCTAAAAGTGCCGTTAGAGCGTGAAATAGTCCGCACTCAAATTGGCGCCCACGGTCGGTTGTGACGTAGGATGGACATCCGAAGTTCGCGATCCATCTTTCGACGAAAACACGAGCAACTGTTTCGGCAGTAATATCTTTAATGGGTACTGCTTCCGGCCATCGTGTGAAACGATCAACACAGGTGAAAAGGTAGGTACATCCATTAGATTCTGGTAGGGGTCCTACAATATCTATATGGACGTGGTCGAAACGCATGTCTGGGGCTAGAAATGAGCCTAAAGGGCTTTTCGTGTGTCGCGTGACTTTACACTTTTGACAAGCTAAGCACGACTGGGC